ACTTTTACAGATTTCTGATACATTTTAAAGGGTTTTATTTGATTCAGAAGCCACAGGTCTTGGTGTTTCCCACCTGCATCCAGAGTTTTTTATGGAAAATGGAGCATTTTAAACTTTGAAGCTGGCAGGCCTGAAATGTTGGGAATTTGTGGAAAAAAATTGTGGGAATTTGTGGAGACGTCCATGGAAGGTGGGGTTGGGGCAGCAGCGGAATTTTGACAGATTTGGTCTCATTTTTGATCTCAGGTAGGAGGGGACGTGGGGAGAGGTTGGACTCTGATCTTGGGGGATTTTCCAGCCTCATGGAATTCTGGGATTGTCCCTGTGGGATCCTCAGGGTTGGCTGTGAGGAGGTGCAGCCACACCAAGGTGGATTTTAGGGCATTAAAATCAGAATTTGAGTCAGTAAGGTATTCCCAAAAATCTTTGTGTCCTGGATGGTTTCTTTTAGGGCAAAATTCCCAATTCTTCTTTGGGACAGGCAGAGTCTGACCCCTCTGCTGTTCCCTCCCAATTCTCATTTCCCAAATCCTCAGAATTTGGAAGGATTTTATGGATATTCCACGGAGCAGTTTCGTTTTCCGCCGGGAATCGCGTCCCGTTGGATTTGTGGGATTCCTCCCTCTCCTGACATCTCACGTTCCGGATGGAGCAGATTTCTTGGAATGCCAACAATTCCTTCATCCTCAATCCCATCACATCTGCAATTCAATGGATTTGAAACATTCCCAGCACGAGGGATGGGATTTATCCTAATTTTTATCCACTTCTCTTCCCTAAATCCGTTCAAAATTGGGGGCGACGCCTCCTTGGACCTCGAATCTGGGAAATCTTTGGGATTTGCTCTTTTCCATGAAGATTTCCACTTGGAATTCCCTCCTTGGACCTCAGATCTGGGAAATCTTTGGGATTTGCTCTTTTCCACGAAGATTTCCACTTGGAATTCCTTGATTGGACTCTTTGCTCCCTCACCTTCTGCTTCCAGGATTTCTTGGTGGTGATCCATGAGTGAAAGGAGTTTGGGATGGAATTAGGGAAAGTGGGAATGGAAGGGTTTGGATGGAATTTTTCCTCTCACCAGGATTTAATAGGAAAAGGATCCTGTCGAGTTTTTAGGGAAGGATTTCTTTGGATCCTTGGAAAAAAATCGTGGCTGCTCCATTCCTGGAATATCCAAGGCCGGGTTGGATGGGGTTTGGAGCAAGCTGGGATAATGGGATCATCTTGAGGTTCCCTTCCAAGCCAAGCATTCCATGATAATTCCATGGGCAGTGGAATATTCCCAAAGAGTGGGAAGGACCTGGAATGAGGCAAAAAGGAGGAAAATCCATAAATCCAGAGGGGTTTGGATTCTGTGAACAGTGGAATATTTCCAAACAGTGGGGAGCACCTGGAGTGAGGCAAAAAGGAGGAAAATCCATAAATCCAGAGGGGTTTGGATTCTGTGGAATATTCCCAAAGAGTTGGAAGAACCAGGAATGAGGCAAAAAGGAGGAAAATCCATAAATCCAGAGTTGAGGACCTGGTGAGGAGAAGAAGATTCCCAAAAGTCTTGGATCGGCAGCTGGAGGGATTTGGAAGCCAAAACCTCTCCTTGGCACCGTGGAATTGGAATTCTGGGAGCCAAATTCTCTCTGGAATCATTTAATTGGAATTCTGGGATCCAAATTTCCTCTGGAATTGTGGAATTGGAATTTTGGGAGCCAAATTCCCTTTTCATTCTCATAAAGTTTTCCCTGAGGAACAGCTTTGGTTTGTCCTGGTTCAATTAAAGCCTGGAAAAATCTGGGAATGGGAATTGCTTAGGGATAGCCTGGAATTGGGGAAGACCAGCCTGGAATTGGGGAAAACCAGCCTGGAATGCTGAAATTGCTGCTTTATCCTCCTGGGATTTATTATTCCATCATCCTGGCTTTTTAGATCCGTGATTTTATATCAGTTATTCCGCATTGGATTGGATTTTATGTCGTAAGAGCAGCTGGAAATCGAATTTTTTTTTCCCCAAGGATTTTGAATAATGATCATTGATGATGTTCCACCTTGAAGAATTCCAGAGTTTTCCAAGGAATATCCCTTCTCCACAGAAAACTGCTTTTTTCCCAGCTCAATATTCCCACTTCACCCCGACTTTAGGGACTTTGATATGGAATTAAATCCTATTTTTATCAGAGTTTTTTTTTTAATTATAAAAGTCTCCCGAGGCTCTGGAATGACCTTTGAGCTGTGACACGATAGGAGATGAAATTCCAGGAGCTCCAGGCACTGAAATTCCGGGCTGGGAATGAGATTGGATGTGGAGATGCCACATTTTGGGAAGAGCTGGAATTGCTCATGGATGTGACAGCAAATCATGGATTTATTCCCTTTAATTCCTTTTTTTTTTTTTTTTTTTTTTAATTTTTGGAGCAGCCTCTGGTGATCCACGTGGTGCTGACATCCCCGGCGTGGGGGTGGGTTAATTGATTAATGAATTGGTTTAATTAATTGATTTGATTGAGGCTTTTGTTCTGGAGCAGTGATAATCAGCTTCCAATCTCCTGCCTGAATTCCGTGGAAATTTGACTTTTTTGAGGTAAAAATGGAAAATTAAAACAAAAAAGCCCCAAGAGCTCCCGAGGGATTGGGCTGATCCTGGGGTTTTCCCCTGATCCAACTTTTCCTGATGTTCCTTTTCCCCCTCAGGATTGGATCCTGCACCAGAACAACCCCGCCCACCTCGAGAGCTGCCGCAGGCTGCGCCAACAGTAAGGGATCCACTGGGGAGCCACTGGGAATCCACTGGGAATCCATTGGGAATGTGTGGGATCCACTGGGAATCCATTTGGGATCTGCTGGGGATCCACTGGGGATGTGTGGGATCCACTGGGGAGCCACTGGGAAATGCATTGAATCCACTGGGGAGCCACTGGGAATGTGTTGGGAATGTGTGGGAGCCACTGGGAATGCATTGGGAATACTGGGGATCCACTGGGAATGTGTGGAATCCACTGGGAATCCATTTGGGGTCCACTGGGAATGCATTGGATCCCCTGGGAATCCATTTGGGATCTGCTGGGGATCCATTGGGACTGCATTGGGAATGCATGGAATTCACTGGGAATCCATTGGGATCCACTGGGAATCCAATGGGAATGCATTGAATCTGCTGGGAATCCATTGGGAATCCATTGAATCCACTGGAAATGCATTGGGAATACGTTGAATCCACTGGGAATCCATTTGGGATCCACTGGGGATCCATTGGGAATCCATTTGGGATCGGTTGGGGATCCACTGGGAATCCACTGAATCCATTGGGGATCGGCTGGGGCTCCATTGGGAATTAGTTGGATCCATTGGAATGTGTTCAATCCACTGGGAATCCATTTGGGCTCTGCTGGGGATCTGTTGGGAATCCATTTCGGATCAGCTGGGAATGTGCTGGGAATCCACTGGGAATCCATTTGGGATCGGTTGGGAATCTGCTGGGAATCCATTGGATCCATTGGGGATCTGTTGGGAATCCATTGGGAATCTGTTGAGGACCCATTGGGAATGCATTGAATCCACTGGGAATCAGTTGGGAATCTATTAGGAATCCATTTGGGATCCACTGGGAATCTGCTGGGAATCCATTGAGAATCCACTGAGAAATATGTTGGGAATCCATTGGGATCCTCTTGGAATCAGTTGGGAATCTGCTGGGAATCAGTTGGGAATATATTGGGCATCCATTAAATCTCTTGGGAACCAGTTGGGAATCCACTGGGAATGCATTGGGAATCCATTGGGAATCTGTTGGGAGTATGCTGGGAATCTGTGGGATCCACTGGGAATCCATTGGGGAATCTGCTAGGAATCCACTGGGAATACATGGAATCCATTGGGGATCTGTTGAATCAATTGGGAATCCACTGGGAATCAGGAATCACTTGGGAACCTACTGGGAATCCCCTGGGAATCCAGTCAAGGCACTGGGGATCCACTGGGAATCCATTGGGAATCATGGAATGCTGAGGAGGGACCTGAAATCCCATCCAGGGCCATTCCCCACCATCCCAAAAATTGCTCCAATTCCCATCCAGCCTCACTTGGGATAAACAGAAATCAACATTTGGTGCTTTGGGGAGTGGGAATGGATTTTCCCCATAAATATTCCCATTTTTCCCCATAAATATTCCCATTTTTCCCAATAAAATTCCCGATTTTCTTGGGAATTTTGGCTTCTCCACTGACATTTTCCCCCCATTCTCATCCACAGATATCCTGAGTGGAATCCTGAGGCTCACTCCTCCAACAACAGGTACCTTGTGGTTTTAATTCCTTAATTACTCACCAATTAATTAATTTTAACTCATTATTTCCCCTGGTTTGCCCCCTCCAACCCCTCTCAGCGAGGTCACATTTTTATGATAAAATTTTAGGAGTTTTTTAATGGGATTTTGTCCCAAATTCCAGAGAATTCCGAGCTGGTTTGTGTTGGATTGACCTTAATTTCCACAGATTTTTATCCAGGTTTTTTTTTCCAGTTTAATCCAGTTTTTTTGCAGTTTTTTGCGGTTTTTTGAGTTTTTTCCCCATTTTTCCCCCCAATTTTTTCCCATTTATTTCCTTTTTTCAATTTTTTCCGTTTTCCCCCATTTCTTCCCATTTTTTCCTTGCTTTCCATTTTTTCCCATTTTCCCCATTTTTTCCATTTTCCCCAATTTTTTCCCATTTCTTTCCTTTTTTTCCCATTTTCCCCATTTTTTCCATTTTCCCCAATTTTTTCCCATTTCTTTCCTTTTTTTCCCATTTTTCCCATTTTTTCCATTTTTTCCCATTTTTCCCCATTTTTTTCCTCATTTTTTCCCCATTTTTTTTCCATTTCCCCCCCAGTTTTGTTCCACTTTTTCCCCAGTTTTATGGAGTTTTTTTCCATTTTTCCCAGTTCAATCCAGTGTTACAATTCCCCATTTGTCATTGTAAAAAAACAACACGTAGACATTATAAAAAATAACGTTTATATTGTAAAAAAACCCCTTGCACTATAAAAATGTTATAAAATTATATTAAAACGTTATAAAAATATACACATTGTAAAAAAATTAATATCTACACTATAAAAAATAACATGCATTGTAAAAAAAAAATAATATTTTAAAAATACACACTATAAAAATAATATCTATGTTGTAAAAAAAAATCTACATTTTATAAAATTCCTGACATTTCCCAAACTCTGCTTTCTGAAATCCCATTCCTCACTTTTCCCAAACTCCCATTCCCACACCAGTCCCACTCCTGACATTCCCAAATTCCCATTCCCATCAATCCCACTCCTGACATTCTCACTTTCCCCACAAGAATCCCACTCCTCGCTTTTCCCACAGGAATCCCATTCCTAACTTTTCCCAAATTCTGCCTTCAAAAATCCCACTCCTGACATTCCCAAATTCCCAACCCCCATCAATCCCACTCCTGACATTCCCAAATTCCCATCCCGATCAATCCCACTCCTGACATTCCCAAATTCCCATTCCCACCAATCCCACTCCTGACATCCCCAAATTCCCAACCCCCATCAATCCCACTCCTGACATTCCCAAATTCCCAATCCCCATCAATCCCACTCCTGACATTCCCAAATTCCCATTCCCATCACTCCCACTCCTCACTTTTCCCAGTCTCCTTTCCCCACCACTCCCACTCCTGACATTCCCAAATTCCCAACCCCCATCAATCCCACTCCTGACATTCCCAAATTCCCAACCCCCATCAATCCCACTCCTGACATTCCCAAATTCACATTCCCATCACTCCCACTCCTCACTTTTCCCAGTCTCCTTTCCCCACCACTCCCACTCCTGACATGCCCAAATTCCCATTCCCACCAACCCCACTCCTGACATCCCCAAATTCCCATCCCGATCAATCCCACTCCTGACATTCCCAAATTCCCATTCCCCATCAATGCCTTTCCTCACTATCCCCCATCCCCACACCAATCCCACTCCTCACTCTCTCCCGTTATCCCGCCCCGTTATCCCGCCCCGTTATCCCGCCCCGTTATCCCGCCCCGTTATCCCGCCGTTATCCCCGCTCACTCTGTCCTTTTCCCGCAGGAATGCCGCCGATCGGAAGGAGAACCGCACCCCCAAGCACCGCTCCAGCTCCTCCAGCCCGAGCCGGCGCCGCTCCCGCCCCTCGGGCGGCTCCTCTCGTCCCTCCTGCTCCTCCTCCTCCTCCTCCTGCAGCTCCGCCCTCCGCCGTTTCCGCTCCCGTTCCCGCAGCCCGGGCCGTTTCCGCCGGCCCCGTTCCCGCAGCCCCCGGCCCGTGCGGCGCCCGAGCCCTCGGCACCGCTCCCGTTCTTCGCGCTGCTCCCGTTCCCGTTCCCGCTCCCCGCAGCGCGGCCGCGCCCCGCCCCGCCCCGGGCCCCGAGCGCGGCCCGAGCCCAGCGCCGAGCGCGGCTCCTCCCGCCGCTGCAGCCGCTCCCAAGGTACCGAACACCGGGAACCGGGAACCGGGAACCTTCCCGGCCCTCAGCTGTGCAATTCCGTGATTCCAGCCCCGATCCCAGGGGATTTGGGATCAGCACCTTCCCACAGTTTAGTTCTGTCATTCCAGCCCCGATCCCAGGGGATTTGGGATCAGCACACACATTCCCACAGTTTAGTTCTGTCATTCCAGCCCCGATCCCAGGGGATTTGGGATCAGCACACACATTCCCGCAGTTCAGTTTTGTGATGCTGTCATTCCATCATTCCAGCCCCGATCAGGGATTTGGGATCATCAGAGATGTTCCCACAGTTTAGTTCTATCATTCCATCATTCCAGCCCCAATCCCAGGGGATTTAGGATCATCAGAGGCATTCCCAATGATTATTTCTATCATTCCAGCCTCAATCAGGGATTTGGGATCATCAGAGATGTTCCCACAGTTTAGTTCTGGAATTCCAGTTCCAATCCCAGGGGATTTGGGATCATCAGAGGTGTTCCCAGCCATTAGTTCTGTAATTATGTAATTCCATCATTCCAGCCCAAATCCCATGGGATTTAGGATCATCAGAAACATTCCCAACATTTATTTCTGGAATTCCAGCCTCAATCCCAGGGGATTTAGGATCATCAGAGGCATTCCCAATGATTATTTCTATCATTCCAGCCCTGATCCCAGGGGATTTGGGATCATCAGAGAAATTCCCAACATTTATTTCTGTCATTCCATAATTCCAGCCCCAATCAGGGATTTTGGGAATTCTGAGCAAGATTCCCAAATGTTTCTTTTCATCCCAAATTGAGATTTTGGGAGTGTTGAGCACCATTCCCAAAGTTTATTTAATTTTATTTTTTTTAAATTTCATCCCAAATTGGGATTTTGGGAATATTGAGCACCATTCCCAAAATTTATTTAATTTTATTTGTATTAATTTTATCCCAAATTGGGAATTTGGGAATGCTGAGCAACATTCCCTAAGTTTATTTTTTCCCCTCCTTTTTTGGGTAATTCCATTCCAAAATAATTTAATCCCAAAATAATTCAATCCCAAAATAATTCCATCCCAAAATAATTCCATCCCAAATTGAGAATTTTTGGAATTTTTTTTTTCTCTCCATCTCTGTTTTTGGGGTTTTTTTTTTGGAGTTTTTTTAAATTTTTTTTCCCCCAAGGGTTAAAAATCCAAGTAGGGAATTGTGAAAGGATCAGGAAAATTTAAAAGAAAAAAATGTAAAATTTTTTTTTTTTTTTAAAGGATTAAAGGAAAAAATTCAGGATTTTGCCCACAGCAATCCAGCAGCCAGGAAATTAATTAAGGATAATTAAAAGCAGCCCAAGGAAGGCAGGAATTAGCAGTAAGTACAGCTGGGAAATGCAGGGTGAGAAAGGGTCAAAATATTCCCAAAATTAAAAAAAAAAAAGGAAAAGTTCTGAAAAAAATGAAAAAAAAATTCAAAAATAATTGGGAAAAAATTCTGAAAAAATTCCGAAAAAAATAAAAAAAACAATTTTTAAAAAAAGCAAAAAAAAATCCGAAAAAAATTTTAAAAATTCAAAAATAATTGCGAAAAAAATTGCAAAAAATTTTAAAAATAATAGGGAAAAAAAGAAGAAAATTTTTGAAAAAATTCCGGGAAAAAAAAAATTTAAAAAAGTTCCGAAAAAATTCTGAAACAATTCTGAAAAAAATTCAAAAATAATTCCGAAAAACGTTGCGAAAAAATTTAAAAAATAATAGGGAAAAAAAAGAAAATTTTTGAAAAAATTCCGAAAAAATTCTGGGGGAAAAAAAAAATCTAAAAAAAATTCCGAAAAAATTCTGAAAAAAATTCAAAAATAATTGCGAAAAAATTGCAAAAACAATTTTTAAAGATTTAAAAATAATTGTGAAAAAAATTTCAAAAATATTTTTAAAAATTTCAAAAATGCGAAAAATTGCGAA